CCCGCAAGAGGCCTCCAAGACGGCCCAAGAGCGCTCCACGACGTCATCCAGGAAGGCCCGCAAGGGACAAATCATTGATTTGCCTCAGGCTTTTTTGTCATTTGCGCCTTTTCAGCTCTCCGACGGCCCCACACGGCCCAAGAGGCCCCCAACATCGCCCCAAGAGCGTCCAAGAGGCCTCGAAGATGGCCCCATGACAGCCCAAGAGGCCCCCAAGAGGGCCCGAAGAAGGCCCCAAGACGGCCCAAGATGGCCCCGAAGACGCCGAAGATGGCCTCCAAGACGGCCAAGATGACCTCCAAGATGCCTCCAAGACGGCCATGAAGGCCTCCAAGATAGCGAAGATGGTCTCAAGATGAACACAAGACGGCCCAAGATGGTCTGAGGATGGCCTTGGACTGCCCAAACGGCCCGCAAGAAGCCTCCAAGACGGCCCAAGACCCCTCCACGACGTCTTCCAGGAAGGCCCGAAAGCTCGGAAACTACCTGGTCCGATAGCTCGCCCGACTCCGTGTTCCCCGAAGGCTTTCGAAACCCACTCGGGGAACGCGTGGCCCGATACATTGGCCAAGCTCAAACCCAACCTTCGGCCACGCAGGCGCTTCCAAATTGGCAGGGGGCGGCGGTGATTCGCCGTAGGCGTCTTCGATCCGCCGCCCCCTGTTGGCTTGCCACAGGGGTGCCTGGCGTGCTAGATCCTTTCGATCGAAGACGCCTACGGCGAGTCACCGCCGCACCCTGCCCTGTTGGAAACGCTTAGGTGGCCGAACGTTGAGGCCAGAGCCCTGCCAAGCTGTCGGACTATGTGTTCCCCGAATCGGTTTGGACAGCATTCGCCATCTTGGGCCGTCTTGCGTGCATCTTGGGGCCATCTTCGCTGTCTTGGAGGCCTTCTTGGTCGTCTTGGGTGCATCCTGGAGGCCATCTTAGCCGTCTTGGAGGCCATCTTCGGCGTCTTCGGGGCCATCTTGGGCCGTCTTGGGCTCTCCTTGGGGCCCTCTTGGGGGCCTCTTGGGCTGTCATGGGGCCATCTTGGAGCCTCTTGGGCACTCTTGGGGCGATGTTGGGGGCCTCTTGGGCCGTCTTGGGCCGTCGGAGAGCTGATACGAAGAAAATGCAAACATCATTCAAACACCTACGGAACCTTAATGATTGTTGCTCTTTCGGGCCTTCCTGGAGGACGTCTTGGAGGCCTCTTGGGGGCCTCTTGGCCAGTCTGAGGCCATCTTGGAGCCATCTTGGGCCGTCTTGGATGCTTCTTTGACGAACTTGAAGGAATCTTGGACTCTCTCGGGCCGTCTTGGAAGCCATCTTGAACCATCTTTGGCAACTTGGAGGCCATCTTGGAAGCCATCTTGGGCCAACGTGACCATCTTAGAGGCCATTTTGAGCCGTCTTGGAGAATGTGTTTTGGACGTTGGGGTGGTTTATGCTGCCTTGTGGGGCCTTTCGGGTGGCCGGCGGGACGGGCTGACGCCCCAAATACTTTTTCTAAAAAAGCTGAAATCGAAAGGATCTAGCACGCCAGGCACCCCTGTGGCAAGCCAACAGGGGGCGGCGGATTTGGGCTCTTTTAGAACAACTCCCTGGGGCTTCGGCCTGTCTCGCCGGCCACCCACAAGGCCGCACAAGGCAGCATACACCACCCCAATGTCCACAAACAATTCTCCAAGACGGCTCAAGATGGCCTCTAAGATGGTCACGGTGGCCCAAGATGGCCTCCAAGATGGAACAAGATGGTCCAAGCTGACCTCCATGACGGCCCAACAGGGTCCAAGAAGCCTCCAAGTTCGCACAAGAAACCTTTAAGACGGCCCAAGACGGCCCAAGAGGTCTCCAAGAGGTCTCCAAGACGGCCCAAGAGGCCTCCAAGAGGTCGTCCACGAGGGCCCGACGAGGCCAAAATCAATGGTTTTCCTTCGGTTGTTGACAGATTTTGATATGTGATTCTTTTGGCCATTCCGACAGCCAAAGACGGCCCAAGAGGCCCCCAAGATCGCTCCAAGATGGTCCCAAAGGCCTCCTAGATGGCCTCAGAGCAGCCCAAGACGGCCCCCAAGAGGGCACAACGACGACCACAGATGACCTCTAAGACGGCCCTGGGGCACCCCAAGAGGGCCCCAAGTCGGCCCAGAGAGGCCCCCAAGACGGCCTTAGAGGCCTCCAAGAGAGCCTCCAGGACGGCAAGAAGAGGCCCAAAACATTGATTTTCCGCAAGTTTTGAGGATTTTGACATATGCGTCTTTTCGGCCTTCCGACGGTCCGAGACGGCCCAAGAGCCCCCGAAGATCGCCCCAACATCGCCCAAGAGGCCTCCAAGACGGCCCCAGAGGCCCCCAAGACGGCCGGCCCCAAGAGGCCCCCAAGACAGGCTTCTACGACGCCCAAGATGGCCTCCAAGACGGCCCTGGACCCAAGAGGGGGGCTACAAGACTGCCCAAAGAGGCCCCCAAGACGGCTTCCGACGGCGTCAGACGGCCAGGAGCCCACCAAGACGGCCAACGAGGCCCCTGAGAAGCCCCCAACGGTCCAAGAGTCTCCCAGGAAGCTCCCAGGAGGCCCCAAGAGTGTCCCCAGAGGCTCCCAAGATGCCCCCTCCTCCTCCTCCTCCTCCTCCTCCTCCGCCTCCTCCTCCTCCTCCTCCTCCTCCTCCTCCTCTTCCACCTCCTTCTCCGCTTCCTCCTGATCTTCCCCGCCATCCTCCCCCAAGTGTTCCCCGAAGGGTTTCCACAATGGTTGGGGGAACACATGGCCCGATACCTTGGCAGAGCTTTTGCCACAACGCGCAGCCACATGGGTGATTCTAGAAGGCGGGGGGCGTCGGTGATTCGCCACAATCGTCTTCGATCCGCCGCCCCCTGTTGATTCATCACCGGGGTGCCTGGCGTGCTGGATTTCTTGCGATATGCTTTTGGTTCTTTGCCAAAAGAACTCTCCCCCGGGGCTTCGCCCGGTCCCACCGGCCACCCGAAAGGGGGCGCAATCGTGCACAACGTCCGGAAAAGGTCTTCCATGACGGCCCAAGACGGCCTCCAAGATGGCCACGTTGGCCCAAGATGGTCTGCAAGATGCCTCCAAGACGGCTAAGATGGCCTCCAAAACAGCTTAGATGGTCCCAAGATGCCTCCCAGACTGCCCAAGATGCACCCAAGACGGCCTCAGATAGCCTCAGGATGGCCCAAAAGGCCCCCAGGAGGCCTCCAAGACGGCCCCGGAGGCCTCCAAGAGGTCCTCCAGAAAGGCTCGAAAACGCTGAAATAATAGATTTTCCCTAGGTGTTTGACGGATGTTGTCATTTGCGCCTTTTCGGTCTTCAGACGGCCCTATAGGCCCCAAATGTCGCCCCAAGATCCCTAAGAGGCCTCCAAGATGGCTCCATGACGGCCCAAGAGGCTGCCAAGACGGCCCCAAGACGGCCCGAGAGGCCTCCAAAACGCCCACGATGGTCTCCAAAACGGCCCTGAAACGCCCGAAAAGAACCCCAAATCAGTTCAGAGAGGCACCCAAGACGGCTTCCGACGGCGTCGGACGAGTCAGGAACACCCTAAGACGGCCAAAGAGGCCCCCAAAGAGGCCCCCAAAGATACCCAGGGAGGATCTCAAGGGGCCTCCCAAAGGCTCCCGGGAGCTCCGCAGAGGACTCCCAAGAGGCCTCCAAGAGGCCTCACAAGAGGTTCCCAAAGAAGTCTCCTCCTCCTACTCCTCCTCTTCCTCTTCCTCTTCCTCCTCCTCCTCCTCCTTCTCCTCCTCCTCCTAAGCGTTCCCCGAAGGCTTTTCAAACCGACTCGGGGAACAACTGGCCCGATAGCTTGGCCAAGCTCTAGCCCAGGTGTCGGCCACATAGGCGCTTCAAAAAGGGCAGGGGGCGGCGGTGATGCGCCGTGGGCGTCTTCGGTAAAGAGGGAGAAGGGCGAAAGGGGGTAGAGGAGGAAGAGGGATCAAAACGACAGGGAGAAGGCAACGCAGGGTGAGAGGAGGAGAGGGAAGACATCACATAACGAATGGTGTGGAAACAAAGACGAGGCGATGCGACGCGCAGGCCTCGACGTCCGACGTCGAGGCAAAGCACGATGCTGTGAAAGGTTCACGACTGGAGCTCCCGACTCCGACTTGCTGCGGGATCTCTCGACCCGCATCAACCCACGAGGATCCCGGGGCCGGAAGGTAGTCGTGAACGCCCAGAGAAACAAGAACGCCTTGCATCCTAAAGGACACTGGGCTGCTCGGCAAAGATGGCTCCTATCTGGAATCGCTGCGGCTGGACGCTCGCGGTGGGAATGTCGTGGCGTGAACGCCCGCCGTGACTCCTGCCACGACGCCTGCGCGTCAGAGGAGGAGGAGGAGGAGGAGGAGGAGGAGGAGGAGGAGGAGGAGGAGGAGGAGGTCGAGAGGCGGGCAGCACGACGTGGCCGACTCCCAAACCTTGGCGAACAACGGCGCCGCCCTCTCGGTGTGTCAACGCTTACCTCCGGCTGCTCTCGGCCACACGCAGGAGCGGCCATGGGCAGGGCTGCCATTTGTTGCGCGGCTTGCCGAATCGTAGCGTGCGATGTGGCAGGAGCGGCCCGCGTACTTGGGTTTGGCCTCCTCCCCCGCGCCACCCGAAAGCCGCGCACCAAAGGCCACTGCGGCGAAGGTCACACGCGTGCCCGATTCTGAGGCCCGAGCATCCACCAGCAGAGCCGCCGTCGCTTCACTCCCGCCAGCCTCCGCGGGTCGTCCGCGGGCCTCCGCCAAGGCGTGTCAACGCTTCGCTCGCTTTGGATCGAGTCTCCAGCGGAAAGCGCGGCTCTATGTTTCGTCCCTTGCAAGGGCTCTTCAAGCCAGGCGCACAAGCGCTTCGACATCGGGCGCCCCCCGCCGATGGGATTGGAGGCGGAGAGGAGAGACGCCACGCACGGTGGGGGCTGCAGGAACAAGACCCATCAACCCCCGCACAAAGAACTCCTGGAAGCGAAGGTCTCCTGCGGTCCCCCCAGAGGACTCCGCCCCCAAGAAGTGCCTGGATGGCCCTCTTCACAGGGCCCTGGATGCCAGGACAAGACCGAAACGCAATACACAGTCCACAGCCATGCCCCTGTATACGCATGCCCGCACCCTCCGGATGCTGCGCCGCCGCCGCCGCCAGCGACAGACGGGCCCCTAGTCGACCTGGGGCTGGGTCTCAATCCGCGTCTCAGTCCTCGAGAAAACAAACTGCTTGAAACGCGCTGTGTTGGCGTCTCCGCGCCCCTGCCCTGGCCAGGGGACGTAGGCCGTCCGCCTCACCGATCCTAGCCAGGCCGATCCTGGGGCTGGAGGAAAAAAGTCAGGGCCGCCGCCGCGCAAATGGCAGCGAAACGGCGTCACGCGCAGCGAACTGCCTGTACAGCACACGCGCGCACGAGGGCGGAGCAGAGCACGCCCCCGCCGCTGCCTGTGTAGCTCGGGGTAGCATGGGGCCCCTTGATGCCCCCACACTCGCCCAGCCACCAGCTGGGAGAAGAGGAAAAGAAAGGGAGGAGGATGAAGGAGGGAAGAGGAGAGAAGGACAGGAATGATGATGATGATGATGATGATGATGATGATGATGATGATGATGATGATGAGGAGGAGGAGGAGGAGGAGGAGGAGGAGGAGGAGGAGGAGGAGGAGGAGGAGGAGGAGGAGGGAGGAGGAGGAGGAGGAGGGCAGGAGGAGGAGGGAGGTAGGAGGAGGGCAATCACATGGAGCTACGTATCGCTTACGCCTTCCTCACGCTTCACGACCAGAAAGTGACGCGTGTAGCAGTCACACGAATGGATGGTGTCTCCTTTCAAAAGCGGGGCAAGCGCTGGATACTTGTCGCAATAGCGTTTCCTACCTTTGGGCATGCCGCAGGCATTATGGCTAGAAGGATGGAGGTTGGTCCCCTTTCACAGCAGGGCTCTCCGCAGAATGGCAGACCGTGGGGCCTTCGTCTTTCAAGCAGACGCTTCCCGTGCTGAAGACGTATGTCCGTAAACAACTAAACAAAAATGTGGAGGGCTTGGGACCCTCCTGCTCCTCCTCGTTCTCCTCCATCTTCCTCCTCATTCTCAAATCCCCCTCCCTCCGCCTTCGCCCTCGTCATTCCTCCTCCTACTCCTCTTCCCCATCCCACCTCCCTTATTCTCCTCCTCCTCCTGCTCATCCTCCTACTTCCTCCCTCTTTCCTGCTCTTGCTCCTCCCTGCTCTTCCTCCTCCTAACTCATCCTCTTCCTCGTCCTCCGTTTCATCCTCCTCCTCCTCCTCCACCTCGATAACTACCCCTGCTCCTCCTGCTCCTCTCTCATCCTGCTCTTCCTTCTCCTCCTGTCTCCTCCTTTTCAATACCTTCCTCCCTCCCTCCCTCCCTACCTCCCCGAGAAAGGCAACAACGACAACCCTGATATGAACGTTTTCAGATTCGGCTTTTCGACATTAAGCGGAAAAGGGGGGGGCTGGCTCCGGACCTCTGCCTGTTGCGACTGTTTGCAACAGTGCGTCCTATAGTGGAGGTTCCACCTGCTCAAAACAAGCGCCAAAAACGGCCAAAATCTACTCGATGGGGGGGGAGGGGAGGGGTACCAGGTCTGGCGCCGATCGGCAAAACAATGAATCCGCCGGCCCCCTTGTGGGGCCACCAGGCTGTAGGACGAAGGTTCGCAGTTTCCTGTACCAGTTGCAGCTTCAAGTTTCCATTGTTACAGTTCTGTTTCTTGCTGCTTACTGTTCCTTGTTGACTTCTTGCTGCTTACTGTTCCTTGTTGATCGACCGCGCGAGGGGGAGAGGCCCAAAACGGGCAGTTTTACCACGCCCTGAGCGTGTGCTCTGAATTGCTGGGGTGGGAAAAAATTAACACCACTCACGCAGATCGGCGGGGTCAGGGTCCCAAACACACACAGGATTTGCCGCATTTCTGAAATTCGGTGGCACCCCTCACGCAGATCGGCAGGGTCAGGGTCCAAAAACACATGGGATTTGCCACATTTCTGAAATTCGGTGGCACCCGTGACGCAGATCCGAAGGGTCAGGGTCGAAAAACAAACAAGTCCCGACACTGTTTCACGGCGGCGCCCAGACCTCATCATTTAGCTTTTGCATCTCCCATGATCCGAGAGAGGGGGCCGGCGGCATGGGGTGAAACCCTTACGGATAAGAAAACGATCACAATACGACCAGAAGCTGTCTACGGACCCTTCCTGGAGCTCACCATGGATTTTTCCGAGCCTGGCCCAGCAGTGGCGACGACATGGCCCCGACCACCAAACAAACGAGGAAGACGAAGCGGACGACGACGACGTCGACGACGGCGGCGAGCACTACTGCCACCCAGGATGATCTGCACCGCGTAGATTGGCTCGCATAGATTCAGCACGTCGATGGCGCGATTCGTTTTCCCAGGAAGGGCCCGTGGGGGCACGAGAATACCTCCAAACCACTAGCCATGCTATCCGACGTCGCAGAACTATTCTAGCGAAGGGCCCAAACGCATGCAGTTGTGAGTTTCGGCGTTGTGAATATCGCCTTCGGTGGATATTTTTGAGGGGCCGCAGAGCGTATTTAAATCTCTCTCGGTCGGCTTGGACTTCACTGACCGCGTGCCACCGCAGCAGGGCTGCGCCGCAGCGTGAGACGGACTAGCGAAAGGCGGCTGTCAACTCGCACGCGGCCGTGCGCAAAGTATTCACATGAACCTTGGCGCATAAATTCAATGACAAAACATGATCGACCCACGAACCCGGAAAGGAATATAGAAATGTAAGGCATGGCAACGTTTCAAAGACACCTGATTGGGCGACGGGCAAATGCAATGCTGAGTGTATCGATTTTGATGTACCGTGCCGAGGGCTGTGCTGTGCTGCGCCGTGCTGATGCTGAACTGCGATGTGCCATGCCGCGAATGTGCCCTATAGCGTTGTGGATCGAGTCCTCCTTTGCACCCGAGTCCTGACCGAACTGATCTGGATCTTAAGCTCGAGCTGCCTCAGCACATAGTAGCTGCCCCAGAGCTAATGGACAGAGGAACATGCCAGGAGGACGCGCCGCGGAACGTCCCAAGGGACGCGCCAGGCGACGTGCCAAGAGACGTGCCACGAAGACGCACCGCGGGACGTACCGAGGGGACGCGCTACGGAAAGTGCCAATGGACGTGCCAATGGACGTGCCAGGAGACGCGCCGCGCGACGTGCCAGGGGGACTCTCCACAGGACGCGCCACGGGACGTGCCAGGTTGCAATGCTGAATGTATCGATCTTGATGTACCGTGCCGAGGGCTGTGCTGTGCTGAGCTGTGCTGAACTGCGATGTGCCATGCCGCGATTGTGCTCTATAGCGTTGTGGATCGAGTCCTCCTTTGCACCCGAGTCCTGACCGAACTGATCTGGATCTTAAGCTCGAGCTGCCTCAGCACATAGTAGCTGCCCCAGAGCTAATGGACAATGGGGACATGCCAGGAGGACGCGCCGCGGAACGTCCCAAGGGACGCGCCAGGCGACGTGCCAGGGGACGTGCCACGGGGACGCACCGCGGGACGTGCCGAGGGGACGCGCTACGGAACGTGCCAATGGACGTGCACCGCGCGACGTGCCAGGGGGACTCGCCACAGATCGCTCCGCGGAACGTGCCAAGCAACATGCCAGACTGCAATGCTAGGGGTATCGATATTGATGTACCCTGCCGAGGGCTGTGCTGTGCCTGGGCGACCTTGACACGTGAAAACATGCGTTTCGCTCAAGACGTTCTCAGCACATCCTCATGCTAGACATCCGCCTGGGCAATGAGACTTTCTCGACACATCCTCATGCTAGACATCCGCCTGGGCGACCTAGACACGTGAAAACAAGCCTCTGGTTCGAGACATCCTCAACACATCCTCATGCTAGACATCTGCCTGGGCAACCTGGAGGCGTGAAACCAAGCGTCTCGCTCGAGACATCCTCTAGACCTGGGCACGTGAAAACACGCATTTCACTTGAGAGATCCTCTGAATTCAGGTCCCCAGGAGAGGACAAGCTATAACACAAAACAAGCGTTTCGCTCGAGGCATCCTCAACAAATTCTAAAAAACAAGCGTTTCGCTAGGGACATCCTGAAATTTGAATTCGCCGGCCCTCTTCCCACTCGTTATTTATCGCAAAAGAAATCCACCGGCCCTCTTCCCGTCAAAACCGGGGGTAAACCTACTAAAACAGAACCCTGGGCCTGAAGCCCTTTCCGGGAAAAACCAAGCGGCAGGAGGAGGAAACGAGGAACCAACAACAAGATAGGGGCGCGCTGCGCGTGCTTGCGAACGCCACCGCAGACTTCGCAGGAGGCGGATCGCAGAATTGTCCCACACTGGCGCGTGAAGAGAAGCCCGCGCGCGCGCCGATCAGGCATTGGTGGTGGCTCTCGCACCAGGAACCCTCGCGGGTAGGAGCATGCCAAACCGGAAGCACGACAGAGGGGAAGGAGAGGGGAGGGTGGGGGGGAGGGAGAAAGAAGGGACGATGGCACTCGAAAACAAAAACAACACACACCTGGAAAGCCTGGGCAAGTGAAGTCTATCTCTGACGTCGCTGCGTGGCGGCATCGCGCCACGCGTAAGCCCGCCAAAGCGGCGGACGGGCGAGCCCGGCGCAGTGGCTGGGGTCGGCCGCCGGCGGCCGAAAAGGGGCCCGGCCCATGCGCGCAGTAGCCCGTAGACCACCAAATTACCATTGAGAAAACGCATGACAAGCACGAGTAATAGGGGGGCCAGGAAGGAAAGGGCGGAGGGGCGGGGAGGAGAAGGGAATGGGAGAACTGGAACACTGGCAGACTGCGCTCACTGGTTCACCCCTCCCAGGCAAGCTGCGCGGCGTCGTACATCCCGTGGAACGAACAAAATGTTCCTGCATGGTGCGGGAGCCGCCGCGCTGGTCGAGCCGGGAGTCAGCGAACTGGCCGGCGACTGAGTCGATGAGCAGCTCGGCGCGGGAGTCGGCGAACTGGTCGGCTCGGCAGTCGGCGAGCCACTCGGCGCAGGAGTCGGCGAGCTGGCCGGTGCGGGGGCCGGCGAACTGTTCGGCGCAGGGGTCGATGAGCTGGTCGGCGCTGGAGTCGGCGAGCTGGGCGCGCTGGGACCCAGTGAGCTGGGCGGCGCGGAAGTCGGCGAGCTGGTCGGCGCGGGAGTCGATGAGCTGGTCGACGCCAGAGCCGCCGAGCTGGTCGACGCGGGACTCAGCGACCTGGTCGGCGCGAAAGTCGGCGAGCCACTCGGCGCGGGAGTCGGCGATTTGGTCGGCTTGGGGGTCGGCGCGCCGGTCGATGCCCGAGTTTGCGAGCAAGTCGGCGCGGGAATCGGTGAGCTGGTCGGCGCAGGAGCCGGCGAGCTAATTAATCGGCGCGGGCATCGGCGAGCTGGTCGGCGCGGGAATCCTCGACGCCGGTTCGGAGAAAATGGGGCCGCGAACCGTGAGAGGGTCGCGCCGAAATGGGGC